GTGCTCTGGTCCATGGGGTCACGAAGAGTCGGACACGACTACACGACTAAACAAAACGAACAAACAAACGAACCTACAACATCCAGACAACAGAATTGAAACAATGTATTCTGAAAGGCTTCCATGCTGGGATCCGATGGTTGTCGTAGGTTTTTCGTTTTTGTTGAAGCTCTGCTGGCGTTTGCAGATTTCAATGGCTTCCCTGTGCAATCTAACATAATGATTGCTGGTGTTGTCCAGTACTTCTGTATTTTGAAATAAAATTTTATGTCCAGCTTGTTTCAGGGCATGTTCAGCTATTGCTGATTTTTCCAGTTGTTTTAGTCTGCACTGTTCTCTTATGTTTCTCATTCAAAGAAGAAAGTCTAAAATTGAGCAAAGCCTGGCTCCCAGCACTGAAAACACAGCCTGCAAAAGGTCAACAAACTCTACCCAGCCACAAGGACTAGTGATCACTGCACACCAAAGACCAGCTAATGACACCCATCAATCACAGTGAAAGATAATCTCTCCTTATCACAACAATACAACCACAACAAAAAACACGGTGACCACCATAACCCAATCTCCTGAAAAGGACAAAAAGCTGATCCCACAGCTACAAATACTCAACTATCCCACAAACTGCACCAGAGCACAGACAGAGTTCTGACTCCTGTCCTCTGAAAATGTCAGCCACAGAGAATGGCAAAATGTTAGGAAGAAGAATCTCAAGAACATGGCCAGACAGCCCAGAAAGCCTACAACAGAGTTGAAACACATCTTTACTTTGAAAGCAGAGCACAATTTAAAAGTGGAAAAAAAATAGAAAAATGCAGGTGAATATTTTGAAAAAAAAATACCTGAAGTAATATTGAACCATCTTTACTGCCTGTTTAAAAAGATACTTGGAATGAGGCAGCAAGGCAATTTTCTTACCCACATGATCTGGTCAACTTAATTTTATCACTTTTATCACATTTTCTGTATTTTATGTTTGAGTGTTTTAAATATAAAAATATAAGCTACAGTGTTATAATAAAAAGAGGTTTTGAAAGCCGAGGGTTCATAGGATAGGCACCAAGTACTCAACATGGCCTTTCAGCAGTGTCACTTCAACTGGGTTTTCCACACATTCTGTTGTGCTTTGGCTCAGGGGGAGCAAAAGAAACCTGAGGAATGTGTATCTCAGTACAGCACCTTGAGAATCGTATTTCATTTTAACCTCCACTATTTACTCTTAAGAAGGAAACTCTGAAGATGTAAAAGCAATTTTTGCTAATAATCCTAGAAGTCAGAGATGTGATGGAGAACAGTTTCAATGCCATGCAGAATCTACTTGCATTTCCCTGTGACTTGGGTTAAAACAAAACATGCTATGTAAAAAAAAAGCAGTGTACAAATATGTGTACATTGTACCCAGTCCAAATCATGATTACCTTGTAGAGAATTGTAAACATTTCAACTTTTACAGCTGTCTTTGCTTTTTCTTGTCTCTTTTTTCCTATCATATCACAAGTAAAAAGAATATGAAAATGTGACTTTGCAGAGAAGCTGGTAACAAATAAGTTTATTCTTTTCTACTTCTTTTTCTGTTTCCTTACATGGAGCTTTTCTGCACATGTTCTAGCCAATCAGCTTCTAACAGAGCACAGCAGCTATCTATCTGTGTGACCTGCAAGGCACTTGGCAAATGTACAGGACCTGTTTTTGAAGCCCTGCGTAAACCACATAATCAGGACATTTTGATAGTCACAAAGTTTCTAGGTGAAGGCTCCCAGCTGCATTATACGCCCATGTTCCCCAAGAAAAAACTATCAGAACTTGTGGCATAACATGATAAGCAGAATATATACAGGAAAACTCAAATTAACTAGAAAAATGAAAATGAACTCCAATTATAACTATGAGCAAACAATCTTCACTTACCAATTTGGATTTTCCAAACTTTCCCTGAAGCTTGACTCTTCTTTCACAGTGGCATACTCTGACCATGTAAGGCAACGAGTCTTCATAGACATAATTCTTTCTTTCATATTAAGCCAAGATTCTTCTTCCAAGCAGACTTCAGACACTTTTAGGACACTGATCTGTCAGGTATAATAATATGGTGTTTCAATAATATCAAGGTCTTTGAAGAGAGAAAAGGAATAATTTAGATGTAGCATTTGCTTCCCTCATAAAGGTAAAGGTAAAGGTTCCCCTTGACAATTTTTGTCCAGTCGTGCCCGACTCTAGGGGGCGGCGCTCATCCCGCTCTTCAAGCCATAGAGCCAGCATTTGTCCGAAGACAATCTTTCCGTGGTCACATGGCCAGTGTGATTTAGACACGGAACGCTGTTTACCTTCCCACCGAGATGGTACCTATTTATCTACTCGCATTTTGCATGCTTTCGAACCGCTAGGTTGGCGGGAGTTGCTTCCCTCATACAATACAATAATTAATAACTATACAAAAAAGAAAACTCATCCATAAGATGCGAACTTTGCCAGTAATTTGCAAATTAACTTCAGCAGTTAGTGATGACCACCATGCAAAATTTTTTAAAAACTCATTGCTTGTTAATTTGGTCCACAGCAAAATTTTAAATAAAGCATCAACTTAAATGTGTGTGCCATTTTAGTTGCCTTTATGTCCAGTTTACAGTAATGGATTCTAACAGAAGTCACCTACTGACTATCTCACACAAATGATGATCAGCCAAAACATTTGTTCAATTTGACATTCTGTTTGGTACCTGTGAATTTTATGTTTTCCCATCTGGATGAGGCATGGAAAAGGCAAAGAGAAATGTTACACAAATATTTCATTCAGAATAAGGAATAGAAGTCATCAACTCACAAAATGGACATAGCTCACAAAATGGAACATAGGAGAATTAAAGCTTAAAGACGGTTGGTTCATGAGAAACTTTCAGAGAAGTTAATCACCCTTTAGTTATTCCAAACAAGGTACTTCAAAGGGTATTGCTAAGGTTTTCTTCTTCAAGCACTCATACTGAGATTTGGGCTTGTTTTTGAAAATCACCTTTCTAGGAATTGAGGAAACTGATCTAAACTTTGAAATGCAGTCTTACTGTCCTATCGCTTGGGTCATGCAGGACCATTAAACCTTCCTGCTCCATGAGTTGAGTGAATAATCCTCCTGTGCAAGTATCCATTTGCCTACAACCATAAAAGTCAAGAAGCTTCAGCACTGACAAGTAATAATTACCTTTCTTAAGATCTGTGGAATAACATTCTGGCAGGTGGCAATCCTTCTTCGGTATATGATTCCTGTAGACAAATCTGAGCACAGAAAAACAAACCAAGTTCTCTAAGTAGCAAAAACAAAACAAAGAACAGCATTGTAAGTAACTGTGTGTAATAGGAAGGTTCGGAAGCCTGTATATGATGGAGGGGCTTAGCTTCCTTTCCAGTTGCCAGATGGACCACAATATAAAAGCTTAAAGGATGCTTCATTCAAAACGGATAATGTGTTTGTCCACCTCAACACACCAAAGTCCTCAACCAGCCAAGCAACAGATGGTTTGGATCAAACATGTTATTGGCAACTAGGCTGACAGTAGCAAAACATAACACACAATGCCAAATTCACAGAGTTGGCTGGGACTATAGTAGTGGAGAAGTTAATTTCTGAGACACTTTCTAAGGTACAAGCTTCAGATAACTTCCTGTGTGACTATCAGTTAAAAATGGCTCATCTTGCTCACTCTGCTTTTTAAAATACATTCTTGTGCACAAAATACCACTTTTCCATCCATTATCATCAATGTTTGAGTACTAAAGCAATTCTCTTGAACAATTAACATTCATCGTTGTATTGAGTTGGGCCAATGACCAAGAACAATGTTTACTTTAAAAAAACAGAACACCAGTCCCTTCACAAATTAAGGCTATTGAGCTATAAGATAATGTGACTTGCTTCTAAACTCACTTAGCATTTTAATATTTCATGATTTCAATCAAGGCCAGAAGCCTCAAGATGATTTTAATTGATGATCTGGCTGGGCAAATAGCCCAGGTGAAAAAAGAATTCTTAGGATGAGACAAGCTTCTCATTCTAAGTTTATCTGGATTGTTTTCCCAGGAGGCAACATTTTGCATAAGGTTTTAAATAACCAATCTGGCAGTATATTTAGCTTTCTCATTTGCTAGGGGGTCACAAACTGATATTTCCCAAAAGAATAGGATGGATTAAACTAGCATCCATAATTATATGTAAAGGAAAATCCAATATTGGGAAATTTGAAGAAACCAAATTACTTTTTGAAACTCCTCACTTCCAGCAATCTAGAAAGGTTTGCAGCAGTGCTTCCCAACCTTGGGTCCCCAGATATTCTTGGTTGACAACTCTCCAAAACCCTGTCAACACAGCTAGTGGTGAAGGCTTCTGGGGTTTTTAGACCAATAACATTTGGGAACCATTGTTTAAAGGCATGAGGAAGAAGTGAGGACTGGAACTGAAATGGGAACCCTGCCTATTTCATCACCAGTTAGTTCGTCATAGCCATGATTCTCTGTCAGAGTAAGTTTGGGCAGCTGGGGTCCTCCAAGGATTTTTAGAATACAACTCCTCCATACCTAAGCATGAGAGGGAGGATAAGATTTACAGATATATCTCCCCACTTGCTTTGGGAGGATCTCTGAAGGATGCAATCCCAGTCATAACAGCTTGCATATTTATCACCCAACCAGCAGAACACCCACTTAATCTGGATTAGGTTTGGTGCCCTACATTACTCAGATGACACCTCCTACATTAGTTCAGATAACACCAGACATGGATTCAGACCTCCACTGCCACCCTGACATCAATAAATCAATAAATCAAGATCAATAAATAAGACTCTTGCAGAGTGTGGGTGGCATATAAGTCAAATGAATGAATGAATGAATGAATGAATGAATGAATGAATGAATGAATGAATGAATGAATGAATGAATGAATGAATGAATGAATGAATGGGAATGAGGGGTAAGCATCATCAGTATACTGGCACATTTTGTCTTAAAGTTCTGAATGATCTTTGGTTTCACGTGGACCAATTATCTCAGATGCCTGTCAGATGTGACCAGGCTCGCTAGGAATTATAAAAATAAATAAAGACCAGGACATCTAGAGAGTATACCTGCATTTCAATATAAACCACAAGTTATTGTTAAATGACTATCTTTTTGTACCATGTTTGGGGACTAGCCTCCAGAAATAACCTAACAGAACAAAGAGCTTTTAATCTCCACTCTGGAAAAATGGTCAAGAAGATACGATTGATAGTATCAAATGTCACTGAGGGATTGACAAAGATGTACAGCAACAGCGGGTAACTTTGGCAGGCACTCAGTACCTATAGCAAGCCACAGTGCCTACAACCAACTGATGCCAAAAATCAAAACAGAAAGTTGCTAAAAGTTATTCTCGTTACCCTCAACCCCTTTCTGTAAGTCTTTAGGAAAAAGAACAAGTCACACAAAGAACTTCCAATATGTATAAATATTTTCAGAGTGTGGTTCTTCTTGTAAAAAAAAATACATATGGTTGAGGGCTGCCCGTGAACCACAGGCAATGCTCATTCCTGACAAATGAGGTTGCATTCTTCCATGGCTACATCCTAATAAAAGTCTTCCCTGATGGTAAGCTACAGCAATTTCCAAACTGGAAGAGAAGCCAGGATGGAACTCATCTAAACAATTAGTCCATTCAAGAATAGCATGGAGGGCACACCAGCGACTATGTCACTATACACCACTTGAAGTTTGTGACTAGCAAGAACTCTAAATATATTCGCGAAGGCTTTCACGGCTGGGATCTAATGGTTGTTGTGGGTTTTTTGGGCTCTTTGGCCATGTTCTGAAGGTTGTTCTTCCTGACGTTTCACCAGTCTCTGTGGCCGGCATCTTCAGAGGACAGCAGAGGTNGCCACAGAGACTGGCGAAACGTCAGGAAGAACAACCTTCAGAACATGGCCAAAGAGCCTGAAAAACCCAGAACAAGAACTCTAAAGTCTGAAAACAATGAGTAGCAGAAGTAATAGGACTGCAGCCTGAATAAACATAGTCAAAATCCTGCTGTGTAAGTTATGCCTGCAGAAGGGTGATCATGGCAGAAAAAGATAATTGAAGACTTCCTAGTTCTGTCTCATGATGTATGTGACTTGCATGTAGTCAGTTTCACGGTGTAGAAGCCATGGGAGTCCAAGAATGGAAGAAGCTTTCCTCCTTCCAATATGGGGCTCCCACAGCTTGCACACAGTGAAAAAGATTAAATGTGGAATTCCAGAAGAGAAGTAAGAAGTCTTCAATTATGGGAAATCTCCCCCTGCCAGTGACATTATCCTTCCATAGATGTAACAGGATTTTGGCCAAAGAAAAAATATCATAGGGTTCAAGTGCTGATTTGTGCTGAGCCTTGTGTTAATGCTTCATGTTAAATTGTGGTGCTGGGACAAAAACAAAGGGGGGAAAAGCCTAATAAGTAAGTACTTTAGTCACTTTCAAGAAACAGAAAACATAAACCTCTGCTTTTACAAAACAATTCAATCCTTCAAAAAAAAACACTTTGGTTTATGAATGTGGGATATTGTTCTTCTGTACCCATGATTTTAAAAGCCAGGAAATGGCCCTGTATTGCTGCACAATATCGTGCCCACTATGCCAGAAAGAAAAAGGATGCCAAGCTTTATATAGCAAAGGGCAGGCTGACCCCTGACAACACCAATGGCAGCAGTCAAGATGGTTTATATGATACCTTCTTGTGCTCACTGCCATTCATAAAGTGATACCACACAGGGGGAAATCCCAGAAGCTGACTCCTTTTTTTAATCAGTTAACCACTTCTCACCCAAACACAAACAATTGTCAGGACTGTTTTTCACAAGTGTGAATGATCTCCAAATTTGGCACAGAGCAAGAAAAGACTGTCTGCTACATCTATGCCAAATTTGGTGCTGAACTGAGGTAGTTTCATAGTTACAATTTTTTGTTTGGGACACCTCTATTTTTTTAGTTGGGTTAAAAATGCTGAATGCTGCTATCAGCACAATATATTCATAACTATATCAGTAGCTAATCACTTTTTTCAAGCTTTTGCTATTTAACTGGATTTACTTTTAAAATGATGTGGTGGGATCTTAAGAGAGCTGTGCATAAAAATATACCCACAAACCTCAATGAACTAAAGCAACACCGTAAAGAAGAGTGTGCCAAAATTCCTCCATACCAACTTGTGAGACTGATATAGTCATACAGAAAAGGACTACTTAAAGTTATTGCTGTCATAGGTAATTTTACAAGCTATTGAATTATAAGGTGTACTTAGTTTTTCACACATGGCTACACCACTTTGGCTTTTTATTTTGTTAAAGAAATCATGACACGGTGTAATATGTCATGTGTTGTTGTTCCTTTGAGGTTATATTTACCTAATTTTCAGACCTGCCAAGAACCAGATGATTTTTATTACATCCTGATCCATAAAACCATAGAATTTAAAGAGGATGTACTTTCTTTTTCACATGACTGTTCATTGATATAAAATAAATTTGATGTTTAACAAAATATGTCTGAATATGATTTCAAAACCTTCCACTGTAGTTTCAAATACAGTAACTGAAAACTCCTGTTAAACATTAGGAGCAAAAGAGGGTATGGCTTACCAGTTTTCTCTTCCACTGTTTTAACAGCTGTAACACGCTTCTCCATGGGGCTGGGATACTAGAGAAAAAAGTGCACCACACGAATTGTTATGCAAGCAGAAGCAAATTACCCAGCACTGACAAAACAAAGGGACACTTCTGAAGCACATATAAAAGAGCCTGGGAAAGGGAGGGTATTACTGTATGTTATTAGTTTGTTCTGACTGTTTAAGCTCATCACGAAATTTGCCCAAAAGTACTTTTACCTTTCACTTTCGATCATTTAAATCTCTTCAGTAGTACCACACAAAACATACCAAGCATGGATTTTTATATTCTTATCCAATGTTCATGGTTACTTCAAAATAACAGCTGAACGAACTGGGAATTTTTGATGAATTTCTTTAATTTCTGACTTAGCTAGACTAAACCTTTGAATTGCAAACCATTGTACTATCTACCTAACATTTTTCTTATTAGACACCTAGTGTGTTACCTGCTTTTCATAGTCAGCAATCAGTTCTTCAAAAAGAAATCTGGCCTTTGAACATCAAAACTGAGAACCTACCTCATTCCATTTCAAGGAACAATTTGAACAGTAATGCTTTTTAAAAAAAAAAAAATCCTTCCGGCATTTCTTTTTTTCTTCTTTCACTGGGAAACATTTCTATTTTACATGGTGCATAATCAACGACACTTGCTTCATAAAAACAGGATGTTTTGAACTTCTCAGTGAACACCGGCTGACCTGTATTTCTCTTTTGCCTGCCAAAAAGAAATTGCATGCACTCCTGTTCAGTTTTAAACTAGCCAGTTTCCTCTGGTGTCTGAAGCTGGGCAGCGATGGTTTATTTAAACTGCAGTTTGAGAAAAATCTGGAATTGGAACATGCGGTTTGATCCTGGCTTTTCTCTGTCCATAGTTTAAATCAGAAAAAGGATGCAGGGTCCCCACAAGCCATAGATGGCTCCCACTAGTCCCTAATTCTCCCTCCCCATGGGAATATCACACCTCCAAAAAAAACTCCTCATATGCATTTTTCCTGCATGTTTTCCCAAAACATTGCTGGCTCTCTCTCTCTCTCTCTCTCTCTCTCTCTCTCTCTCTCTCTCTCTATCTCTATCTCTCTATCTCTCTATCTATCTTGTATTAATGTCATATGGAGCGCTCTCTGACTTTTGTTGATGTCCTTTTATATTATCTTCCCATTTCCTGGAAGTTAATTAATTCTCCATACTCTTATTGAAGCTAAAAGACCTATCCAACAACACTGGAAAGAAAAATAACTAACTTCTGTTACTCAAAGAATTGAGGACCTTACAACTCTACCAACCTAGGAATGTAAATACACAAAATCTTTTGCACTGATTTATTTTAAAATGTTTTGAAGTCTTTAAAAGAAAGTGTTAAACACTATTTTGTTGTATATTTTTGCCATTGTACTATATTGAGATTAGAGATAGGCACAAATCACCACTTTAGCAATTCATCCCAGTTTGTGTATCAGCTGAACAGGCGTTTGGCACTTCGAAGCCCCTCCTCCTCTGGTGGGTGTCCCACTCACAGGCAGTGGCCTGGCTGCCCTCCCCCCCCCCCCGCAAACACCTGTTTGGCCTATAAGCTGCAGTTCATGCCCACTTCTGAGAGTCAACATGAAATGAACTAACCAGGAGTGGCTATCTCCATTATTTCACTATTTTGAACTTAAGAGGAACTTCTAGGGGGGTTATTCCTTCCAACTTGATTTCCCCCTTGCAGCATTTCTGATTATGTCTATTTCTTTCTTATCTAAAAACCCCGCACATATTTTAAATAGTTCCTGTTCACAGCAAAATATTTAAATACATAAACAATCGCACTATACAAAGTAGTGTGTGTGTGGGAAGTACTGATGTTAATGCAAATTCACATCAGTGTGAGACATGCACCCAAAAGTGATCAGAGAACAAACAAAAAAGGAAGATGAAGAAATTAGATCTAAAGTACCCATAATAAATGGGTTGTAGAATAATGGTTAAAATCCAGATACAGAAGCAATCACAAAAGCCATGGGGTAGGAGCTGGGGAATAGTAAAATTCCAGAACAAAGTAATAACTGTAATGTTCATGTCTATGTTTATTGCAGAAAATTTTTATTAAGTGATGTATAAGACTTCCTATATGGCTGTTAAGTCAGATGCTTCCATGCTTTCTGCTTTCAAATGGCAAGTAATAGTGTAATTATATTATCAATGAAACTTACAGTGTATAAGATGCATTCATGTGAAACAATAAAACAATTTGCATAAATTTTCCATGAAATTGCAGACTCTTATTACTCAAGTATTTAAGCACAAAAGACTCAATTTCGCACATAGTTTAGTACATGGGGAATGAATTAAGATCTTGCAAGTAGGTTTAATTATTAACAGCACTGTAGCTTCACATCATACAAAACCAGATCCAGCTTCCTTAAGGCTGTTACATCCTCAGTAGAATACAGAAAACTGACAAGGAGGACATATATTGACAGCTCAACAGAAGGAACACTCTGTGGGATATATGGGGTATGTTCCTTTGCTCCCAGATTGCCTCTTTAGTACAGAAAAAGACATACATGAAGCTAAATCTAAAGAAGATGGTAGTATTACCAGAGACACTTCAAATTTGCAAAACTCTGTAACAATTTCTAGAGCTCTATAGGAATTTTGATGGGAACTCCAGTAACATTTGTTAACCATCTGTCAGCTCTTAGAAGACACACAAAACTTGACTATTTGACATCCAAATTAAAGGAGAACCATAAAGGAGGCAAGTAACAAGCTATGATCAAGTGGCTCTAAAAAGAAAGCCCATATACACCATCTGCAACTCTCCCACTCCTGGTACAAAGGAAGAGTAAGGAACACAAACCCAGTGGCATAGATCCCAAGATTCTGTAACTAGCACTCAACATCTGCAAAGGTACTCCTGCCAATATGGAAGGGAGAGGTGTTTGCCAGCTCTTGTCCTTTGCAGAACAGTTGAATGCATCTTATACACTGTAAGTTTCATTGATGATATAATTACACTATTACTTGCCATTTCAAAGCAGAAAGCATGGAAGCATCTGACTTAACAGCCATATAGGAAGTCTTATACATCACTTAATAAAAATTTTCTGCAATAAACATAGACATGAACATTACAGTTATTACTTTGTTCTGGAATTTTACTATTCCCCAGCTCCTACCCCATGGCTTTTGTGATTGCTTCTGTATCTGGATTTTAACCATTATTCTACAACCCATTTATTATGGGTACTTTAGATCTAATTTCTTCATCTTCCTTTTTTGTTTGTTCTCTGATCACTTTTGGGTGCATGTCTCACACTGATGTGAATTTGCATTAACATCAGTACTTCCCCTGCCAATATGGAAGGGAAAGGTGTTTGCCAGCTCTTGTCCTTTGCAGAACAGTTGAATGCATCTTATACACTGTAAGTTTCATTGATGATATAATTACACTATTACTTGCCATTTCAAAGCAGAAAGCATGGAAGCATCTGACTTAACAGCCATATAGGAAGTCTTATACATCACTTAATAAAAATTTTCTGCAATAAACATAGACATGAACATTACAGTTATTACTTTGTTCTGGAATTTTACTATTCCCCAGCTCCTACCCCATGGCTTTTGTGATTGCTTCTGTATCTGGATTTTAACCATTATTCTACAACCCATTTATTATGGGTACCTTAGATCTAATTTCTTCACCTTCCTTTTTTGTTTGTTCTCTGATCACTTTTGGGTGCATGTCTCACACTGATGTGAATTTGCATTAACATCAGTAACATCATATATATATGTGTTGAAAAAATGTGTTTGTGTGTATGTCACAGATGCCCAAAGGCAACAAAGGGATGTGTTTGGGTTCTGGGGATTGTATACAACTCATGGCACTCACACTGCCTACCCTTACTCTAAAACCGTGTCTAGATCACTTGACCACACCTGAAGGAGCACTTGTGGCATATTTTTCTTTTACTGCAAGTTTATTGCTTAGAGTATTGTGTACTTTAACTGGCAGTGGCTTTCCAGTTTCCCTGTTGGTAGTTTTTCACATCTGCCTATTAGCCAATTGTCTCTTTCAGCAGAGATGCTGTATAGGATAGGCTCTATCACACTTTTGCTATGAAAATGTGCAATTACCCTTCTTACCCATCTTAACTATCCACCTGTTAAGGAAGTACAGAATGGCACAAGCTGAGTGGTGTTTGTTGTTTTGAGAGAGAGAGAGAGAGAGAGAGAGAGAGAGAGATACAAGTACTTGCTTTGCACACATGAGAAATACAATTATTTTGTTTTACTGGTGTTTCTCTCCCCCAAAATAAATAAATAAATAAACTGGTGTAACCATACCCTCTTCCATATATATATATATACAAGTACTTGCTTTGCACAGATGGGAAATACAATCATTTCGTTTTACTGGTGATTCTTTCCTCCCCCCCCCCGAAAAAAAATATAAACTGGTGTAACCATACCCTCTTCCAAATGATTTAATGCCATCCTGTGGTCAACTATAGAAGCATATGAAATACATGGGGCTGAAACACAACAATTAGCCAAGTGGGGAAAAGGATGGCATGCATGCAGCCAAAAGAGAGAGGAAATAGGGAAACTATGTGCTGCAACTATGGGTATAATCACTCTCACCATTGCTAGTCGATCTTAGGATGCCTTTCCTCAGCCACTCTGCCAGTGCTTTTAAAACCTATTATTTACCAGTGTTCTGGGTTAAAGGAGTAAAATCCTGACATCTGCTACAAATTATCCATCAGTCACAGTCAACTGATGGTGGATTCACCTATCTATCATATTGCTCATTCTAATCTCCAACTCAGAAATTTTGTTTCAAGGTATACAGTACATCTCCATCTGTCCATTATCTCCGATAATAATGCATTCCAGTGACCCAGAGAAAAAGCCAAGTGTATGTATTTAGCAGGGTGCTGTGAGAAATGCTTCCTTGTGACTTCTTCTGGCCTCCACATCATTATACAAATGATTTTTATACAAATGGTTTTTTAATCCATTACATTGGGGGGATGGGAGG